AAGTGACGACGAAGTAGTGCAGCTAGGTCCAGCAGCTCCACCAAAAGGGCTGGTTTGCTTACCCCAGGACTAAGCCTTGAGGAGAGGACGAGTCCACGGACCTTTAAGGCTTAGTCCTGAGGTAAGCATTAAATTGAGGCGGTCTTAGGGGACCGAGTTGAAGTAGTAGTCGACCGTTGGAGACCCCATCCTATCCCCAACATTCAGCAAACGGCCCCAGCAGAAACTCCAAAAGGGCCGGTTTGCTTACTTCCGGTCGATAGTATCTATGTACTCTACCTTCGAACTGCAAGGTGGTCGCAAAGTATGACAGCACCCTAAAAAAGATTACGGTTGGTGTTACATATTTGAAGGCGGTGGTGCATGCTGGACTGAGCCTAGGAGGAGAATTTCTCCGGCACATCGCTCTATTACAACTTCAGTGGGGGTGAGATAGATCAATTTTTCGCTGAAACTTCCTCATAGAGTTATTGAGGCTCCTGATCACGAATATGGCATCCATTTCGGCGCCGGCGCCGAAATGGCGCCGGCTGGCGTCCGTTGGTGCCACAGCTGTTTTCACCAAATTCGCATCAAACTTGTGCATGGGGGTTATTTTGGAGTCCGTTGATTATGAATTGATTCCTTATAACTCTCGTAGGGAAAGTTTCAGTGAGCGAAAATTTTTTTACCATCTTGCCCCTAGTGGGGTTGTAGTAGTGCAATCGTGCCATTTCTCCTTCTAAGTAGAGGAGAAATGGTAAATTGCTAACACAAACCTCATCTATCCATAAATTTGCACACACCCCTCCTATAGTCTCCCCTAAGCGTAAGACGAGAGCCATGTCATTGATCGGAACTACTGACGCTCTTTCTTATCCTGGCGGAGGCACAACATTAAAGCAACAATCCAGGAACGAATTCGCGGGTAAGGACCACCTATAATGACGTTGCAGGTGAGAAGTTGGTCAATGGAGAAAGAAAAAGTAGAAAAAAACGTCGGGCAGGGGCTTAGACAGGGACTCCCCTGCCGTTTAGGGAGACGTGTGTTGGACGAGTTGTCCGAACCTGCCCGTAGTACATGCGCTCCAATTGCAACTGCTGGCAAATAGCTGCATGCTTGCAAATACATAACTATTTGCCAGCAATCGAAATTGAAGCGCTTCAATTGCGTTCTTATGGAATCGACCTCATACAGCGCGGCGGTCCCGCAACGACCGCTAGTCAAGCACGGACTCTGCACAGCGTATGTTGAGCGATCCGCCTCGGTATGGGTGATCCGCCCCCTCCAAGAGGACTTCGACCCCTTCCAGCGCATTTTAGAGGTAGGTTTTGAACTTAAAGACATTTCCTATAAACTTTAGTTGGGCTGGGGCATGTTTTGACCGCCTAATGACCAAGTAGTTGAAACCCTGCCTGGACTGTTGCTTTAAAGAACGCGCCAGCTCGGCTCCAAATCCCAGGGAGGGAAGTGAGAGCTCTAGGACTAAGCCTTGTAGGAGGGAGGGACTTCGAGGTGGGTGAGCCGACTAAAGTGTGGCAAAAGTTTGAATGTGTGTGATAAAGGCTTTCGCCCCCATCAGTAAGGAAGAGAGCATGTGGCTATGATAAAGGTTCGATTGTTTCATCATGAAAAACACAGTCGTTGTAAGAGCATGAGACACCATTTTTTGAATCAATGAAACGCTTTTAGAAGCTGACAATACTGGACACCTTCATGTAACCTTAAGAAGCTCAATACTGGGCGGCATTCGATCGCGCTGATAAACATCATACACTTGATCTGTTTTTTTTTTTCACTCCGCGGAACGAGGGGAGAAAAACTTAGCAAGTTACAGAGTGATGCCTTGGTCCGACCTTGTCAGCACTTGGCTTCTACAAACGCGCGCTACGATGGCAACACAAAATTTCGGTTTACTGCGCGGCGCAGAAGGACTTTGTATTTTGCACCTTGGCTTGGTGAGTTACATTCTTCTTTCCGACTGCTATTCGGTGGCCTTTAATTATTTGCTTTTCCTTCAAGATATTCAATGCTTTCGACTCGATGTTTGCTCGGGAAAGTGGTGCGACATAATGGGGTGAGTTTTTCTTTCTTTTGAGATTTCAAGTTTTGTTGGAGTCGTACTCTCCCATCTTTGCAATTCTTTTTACAAGTTGTTATAAATTTGTTCAATTTTTTGCCTATGGAACCCAGAAGCCACGTATGTTATCTCGAAACCGTGTGCTTGAATTTTCAGTTTCACAGTGCCTTACTGCTCTGTCGTGCGTATATTAGCATGCCAGTGTTCCGCGTGTGAGGACTTGAGGTCCATTATTGAGAAGGAGCTGGATTTTAAACGGTTTGATGTGATGAGAGTGTGTGAGCATTTGGCGATATCGGCCTTCTGTTTTAAGGACAACGATCGTGAGAACAGGTCAATAAGGACTGACCTAAAGCTTAAGGGAAAGGAGAGGGCCGGCGTTAACATTTTCTTGCTTACTCGAAAACCTCAACTTGTTAGCAGTCCCGCACACAAAATTTCCCTTGCTCCATCCCCGTCCCCCTCACGCGAGTGCATGAGCACCGGTGAGTGAGATGTTGTGAAATCCCCTTACTTTGATGAATGATCAAGTTGTGTTCAATAGATGTTCTTGAAGCTCTTGGCCTTATATTTATTGGTGAGCTTTCGGCAATAATGCCATCATCAGACCAACCTTAAAATTACAATAATTACAAATCAACAACTACAAGACAAAGGACATGTTGCATCGACACATACCAGAAAGGAGAGAGAAGAGGGGCGGCCTATCGGGGTGGCTCGGGAATGAAAATGAGACGCCATCCTGAGGGAAAGGAGCTCACTGATCATGCCAAAAGCCTCAGAAGGTCACGTAGCTCTTCTTTCGCATTTATTTCTGGCTTGATGCGGTATATCTCCCGCGCTTCCATGATCTTTCTCTCCAGGGGCCGTATCATATGTCTATGAAGAACGCTCATGATGATCAAGTTGTTTGATTAACTTTTCGTGGTAGTTTGGTATCAAGTGACCGCGGTATAAGGAATCGTTCGATATGCTTGATTTTTCTCAGGCGTCGAGGTGTTTCTCAAGTTTTTTTTTTCGATTTCCTAGAGGCTCAAAGCATGGAGTTCATTGAAATCTTAAGAGTAATAATGTAAACTCCATAGGATCTTTTTTTAAGGATTGAAGTGGCAGCCAGAAAATTTATCAAACATCTAACTTTCAGGCTTTTCGATTGAGCAGCACGCTAGTGATTGCTGAGCATAATGAAACTACACTTTCTCCGATCACTCTCAACGCTATTTCTGCTGCTGGCAAGGTTTGTAAGCAGTTTGATTCGATTTTTTATTCCTGGGAGATAGTTGCCGGTGTAATGATAAGAAAGCGTTTTCCTGTTAGGAGGAGATCTTGTCTGATGACACTGATCTTGAAGTGCGATTCGATACTTTTGGTGACGACGTATGTTGACGGAGGATTAGTAGCCATTCAGCTTTCACCCTTCAAAAATTCAGATATCGACTTGTTCTTGCCTTACTTGTTTTCACGCTGACTTCTGTGCCTAATAAACAGCAGCACGACATTTTCACCGTAGGGAAGAGCCAGGGTAGATCCATTATGAATAGTTTTCGTTTGTGTAGCTCGGGAGCGACATATCTGTCTTGGTGACTGGAGCGAACGCTTCAAAAATCGCCGAACAAGTTGCTAAGGTTGCAGGTGTCAAGAAAGTACTTGTTGCCCAAGATGACAAGCTCAAGCACAACCTACCTGGTGAGCAGCGTTTTTATTCCGCGTTCTTTCATATTCTCTAAAGTCTAGTATTCTCCAGAATGCGTCACGCCTGTTGTGCTCGCTGCACAAAAACAGTTCAACTTCTCTTCAATAGTCGCTGGAGCATCGGCGTTCAGCCGAGGTGTGATACCGAGAGTTGCTGCGAAACTCGATTGCTCACCTATTAGTGACGTTACACAGGTATAATAATACTTTACTTTTCTTTCAGTGTGTAGTCTGCTACGAAGAATTAGCAAGCGATTAGGGTGCTACTTAGGCTGGTGTCAGAGTCCGCGATCCGTCGCAGGTTTCGCTGATTTTCGCGATTTGCGCGATTCACGCGACGGGTCACGGAAATCACAAGTGCCCCATCAATACTGCTAAGCCTTAGTTGGGGGGACCACGCGGCGGCGCGGCGCTCTGTTCGTCTGCTCCTCCAAGGCTTAGTCCGCCGATGGCGCGTATTTCGAAACTGCCACGTGGCGACGAAATAGTAACTGCCCCTTGGACTAAGCCTTAGAGGAGCAGACGAACAGAGCGCCGCGCCGCCGCGTGGTCCCCCCCCCAACTAAGTTAGCACCGCGATTAGTTATACTATAGACTATACGAAAGAAATTGTCTACAACCTAAACTCCGTTTCCGTTCGATTTTCTAGGAGGACCTTCCGTTATCTTTTTTTTGATTGCGGTCAAAAATGTAATTCTACGCTGCGTCAACCAAGCGCAGAATCGTCTAGCTTCAGCATTTTTGTTTAATCATTGCTTATCTTTGCGCAGCTCTCTGTATTGTCAGATCTCATATATCTTTATTCAGATTCACTCCGCTGATACGTTCACGCGAAATCAGTATGCGGGAAATGCAGTGACCAAGGTAGTCATTTGAATGAGAATTTTCTTTTTCTTTTTAATTGGTACCCGATACGGGAAGTGGGTCGTTCGGGATGCTTTAGTTGAATGTCTCTGAAAAAGTTGCAGTAAAACGTTGCTCTGTATCGCCCCACAGATCATAGCAAGTTTGGTAGAAACGCATACCATAGGAAATTCTTGGAATGGCCACCTTATGTTCGAAGGGTTCCTTCTAATAAGCAGCTAGGAGCAGTGACCCTATCTTGAAAAGATCGGCCTAATGAAATCCTTGAAGACATATTGTTGTCCCTTTTTGTAGAAATGTTTCTCTGTCTTCCCGTAAGGTTCCACTGGTAGTTTTTATTATTTTCTTTCTTTTTGGCTGCCCTTGTACGTAAGAGCTTTCTGATTCCCAGCATCATTTGATGCTCGATAGTGCGTTCCAGAGCGCCCGAGTTACTTTGAATGTCGATGAGTCGTACTTGAATAGCTGCTTTTCATTGGTATGAGATTTACATGAAACCGTCTGAGTTTTATTTGTTATTTTAATTCATTTGCAGTTACATCGGCCGTCAACATGACCATTAATATTTTTCAGTATATTTGGTTGTTCTTCATTTTCTTTGATCTGAAGTCGCAAACGTGCGAGAGCATCCCTGATGCTCGAAAACTTTTAATGTTTGCATTTCACTATTATTTTGCCGAATTTAGATCCAAAGCTCCGCACCAGTCAAAGTGATGACGTGCCGAGGAACGTCTTTTCCACCAGCTCCGGAGGGAGGAAGCGGTGCCATCGAAAACGGTAAGCCTTCATTTCTGTACCTGGTTCACCGCGAGGTGCTGTGAATAAAATTTCTGTCTACAGCACCTACCGCTGACATTAAGACGGATCTCTCGGAGTTTCTGGGACAGGAACTGAGCAAATCTGAACGGCCTGATCTTGGTACTGCTAAAATCGTTGTCTCGGGCGGTCGTGGAGTTAAAAGTGCTGAGAACTTCAAGGTTTGTGGTACTCGATACCCTTCAGCAACTCCCTCTAACCACTTATTCCAGCTTATTTACGACCTTGCCGATAAACTTGGTGCTGGAGTTGGCGCTTCACGTGCCGCTGTTGATGCAGGTTTCGTTCACAACGATATGCAAGTTGGACAAACGGGAAAAATTGTAGCTCCTGTGAGTTTTCGTAGCATTCTCAGGTTTTCACGACTCAGATATTTACCATGACAGGTGCTATTGCGCCATTACGGCCATTTCATTTGGAGCAAACTAGGGCAAGAAATTATCACCGCTGAAACTTTACCTGTGCGGTTTTTAATCCCCATCACGAATATGAAATCCCTTTCTTGTCGTCGACGAGATTGAGGCCACAATTACTTCCCCCATTAGACGACCCAATTTATAGTCCATTGCCACTGGACGTGCCTTGAACGCGAATTCAACATTGTCGCGTAGTTGATGCCTGAAAGTGAAGAGGGAGATATGGCTCCAAACTGACGTCAAATGCGCCGGTGTCAAAACTAGATTCGATATTTCAAATCAATTCACGCCAAGAGAAATTTCCTTTTCGTATAACTTCGTATAATGTAATTTTTCCATTTGTCAAACGTCAGGTTTGAAATGGTGCAATAGTGCAGCTTCATATTGACTACTTTATATTATATTATTAGCGTATATTATTAGCAATTTTCGCAAAAGAATAGTGCTCAGAAAAGGAACTTCCTCGATAGGACGTACCGTATGTCAATTTTCTCCATCCGCGAATGGCTTAATACCAATTTCAATACTTCAGTTCAAGATCTGTCAGGAATGCTCGAAACATGAGCTTACTATACATTACTACTAACGAAAGCAGTTGACGAGCTGATGAATCTTCGATACTCTTCTAGAGCTATTTCTCAAATTAAAGCGATTTTTCTGGCCCTCAAGCGCGTCCCCTTACGTCGGTTATTGGCTACCGCCGCTTGCATGTTCAGCGGTAACTTCTTACACATTTATTCTAGTCGTGTTTTTTAGCGTTTCATTAATGGAAATGAACTAATTGTGTACACTAAGTAATGTATCGCTAATGTGTACAGGTTGCTCTGGTGTGTTTAATACGAAATCGACACGTACCTTGAGCAAACGGTCTCTTTCGAGAGGAGGGGGAGGGCAAGAGATTAAAGAGTTATTTGTTCGTTGAGCAAAAACAAAACGGGAGGACGCGAAGCGTATTCGTATAACTTGATTTCATTCTTGACCAGATGTTTCCAAAAATATCTCCCGTTTTCTGAGAATTCTGCGTTTTGAAGAAAATATCTTATCAAAAACATGAAGACATAGACTATTTAGTACTGCTCACAAGGTATTCAGAACGTTAACGAGCAAAGTGTTTTTTTTAGGAGCTGTATATTGCGATTGGAATCTCTGGTGCAATTCAACATCTAGCTGGTATGAAAGATAGCAAGGTAAGTGCTTTATTGCTAAACGGCTTTATATTCGAGGACACAGGCAATATGAAGCTTTACAGGTTATTGTGGCCATCAACAAGGATCCTGACGCACCAATCTTCCAGGTGAGCAAGCTTACGGGTGGATCTTTTCGTCATCAACATAATGTGCTGCGCTTCCAGGTTATATCGCACTTTCGGTTGTTGCAACAGCTGCGATTTGCTAACCGTACCGGATGTATCTGTCCCGTACAACGCGTTTTTTTTTTTGGGGGGGGGGAGGATACAAATCCAAGTGGGCTTGAAGGATTGATTGATTTATAGTTAAAAGCAACATTAGGCAAAGTAGTCGAAAAAATCATTAGAGAAGTCGCACGTGGAAAATGGAGCGGATAGATGTGATGCCTTAATGGGTTATGCAGTCTCATGGGGTAGGTGAGTGTTTGATTGGAAGGCACCGTTCTTTGAACGAACCGCGTTTTCTCGGCAAAAACTGTCGTGTATGCCTTGGCTATACTCGCTGAATATGCAGTAGATATCTCACCTTAATAGAGATTACCGTTATTTTTAAGTCACAAAGTTGGGTCGTCTACTGAAGAGACATGATTTCAGGTGGCAACATGATGAAAGCCGACCTATTCAAAGCCGTGCCTGAAATGACCGCAGCTTTGAAGTGAATTGTGCCTTAGTAAATTTGTGATTAATTTACCTCTGGATATAAATTATTATCAGTCAGTTGTTGCTTATTTTCAAGTCTGCAGTACATGTGCATGTCTGCTCCAGGTCGCCGTAAAATTTGGCTATATTAATTGATGAAGAGAACAAGCAATCTCCATTCCAAGTACGGGGGGTTTTTCGCCAACAATAAGGGTTGTCGAAACAGAGTTAGGTTGAACACCATTCTGATCTTTGAATAAGTGTGCTAGTTGCGCCTTCAACCATTGACGACCGTTGTGATGATGTCATGAGTAACCATAGTTCATATCACACTTCACATGGAATAGGCTAGTTTTCCTTATTTTATTCGGCGTTTTTTCCTGTTGCACAACGATCCATGATCCAAAAAGAGTTTTCTCCACCACTGATAATGGAAACGCTGGGAAGGATAATTCATGTCTAACTGATGAGAAAATACGAAAATAGTGAGGCAGTACGGCACAACGCGTCGTCAACGTGTAACGTTGACGACATCGTGCGTTTTGTGTTTTTGCACCGCGTGGGACCAAAGCGATTTTGAAAGCTCCGCCGCCACACAGCAAATCCATGGATTTTAAGTTGTAAATCCGCAATACTTAGATGCGATGAAGTGTTTTCAATGAAGTTCGATCGCCTAACCTAATCGGAGTTGCAGTCAGGTGAATATCGTCTGTTCAGTATGGAAGTGACCCGAAATAACAATGCCCTGGCAAAACGGCGAGTTCTACTACTATCCCTTTAGTTTATGAAACAACCACATCCAAAATTAATTTGATGTGTTGTTTCAGTAAAAACACATGTCTTCCATACGAAATTAGTTGAATTCGCTTCTGTCTTCCTTTTTCATCCCAATGTGTTACTGAGAAAACGAGGAATGAATTGAACAGAACATATTCGTAAGGTCCTGGAAACTCTGCCAAACTAAGAGAATATTTGGCCTTTCTGTGAGCCATGTGGTTTTAAGTATGCTAATGTATGGCCTATAGAATGAGTACAAAGACCTTAGGAATAAGTCGCGCAAGCGCAAGAAAAAGGAGATGACTTGGTGGGACGCGCGTTACCGCGTCACAATGTCCCACAGGTGCGTAAGTGGGAACGCGTTACCGCGTCACGCTGTCGTCAACGTGTTAAACCAGGATAATCCACTTACTCCCCGAGACGCAGAACCCCTCAACATTAAATTACGCGCTGCTCACATGAGCAGGGATTGCATCACCGTTTCTTCTCATTGGTTAGTAGGTGGATGTTGAATCACGGAATAGGAGACAAACCTTAGAACTGGACCAAATTTCAGCACGAAAATAACCACAAGAGCACGAAAACAAATCACAGAGAAAGCAAGCCGTATTTAGGATGTTTCCAAAGTTTTTCGCTATCGGTGCTACCTCAACAATTTCGACTCCTTTTCTGGTTCGGGTTCATATCTTTTAAGTGTTTGCAAAGGGGAATAAGAACAGCACACGCTGGGACTTTGCTGATCGGATAATATGTGGGATTTGTCCGTGGCTCATCTCTTTCCACATCTCATTCCTTTTATTTTACGCAAACTGCTCATTTACTCCTATAGATTCGATATTAGATGGCCAGTTTGTATGTGTTCTCTCCTTTGATGTAAGCAAAAAAGTTCAGTGGAGGCTGGGGAGCTGGCTGGGAGACGGTGGACGGACCGCCTCTCAAGCCCCAACAATAACGTCTCCAAGTCGGCTCCGCTTCCTAGTCATAGCGCTCCCTGCTTCAAGAGCTTGTAAATTTGTGGCTTGTAGATGTTTCTACAATATAATTACTCCTTTAGACCCCAGCGATATACACTAATGCACTCTCAGACATTATTGAGTCGTGCTTGCGCGCAGCGCGACTGCGCGCGTCTCCTCTAGTTCATTACAAAGCAAATGCTGCGGATGATCACCCAAGTGATTGAAGACTGATTGGAGTCATCCAGTGCAGGTGTAGAGCCCAGCCACAACCTTACAACACTGCAGTTTTGGAAAGCCTCACCTTTGCCTCTGGGATTGAGCCTGAAACCGTTCAATGCGCTGGAATGGATCTCCACTATTACCAATCGGACATTCTCGTATACTAGCCCCTGAGATCCGTTGTACACGCTGTTTACTGAAAATCAAACTTATAACTCGGGCGCAGTTTTCCATCTTGGGAATCGATGCCATCAGTAAATGGAGTAATAGTTATGTAATTAATAACACAGCAGGTACTTCCCGGAGTACCTTCAGTCAAATGAGCCAAAATGTTGGGGTGCGCCTTGCCTTCTACTTCCAATTTGAATTTAGGATCGTTGAGGATGCGTAGGTTGTCCATATATAGTTTTTTTTTGAACGAGCCAGTTTTTTTTTTGCTTTAATTTGCAAGACTACTGCTGGAATTCACTCTTACAAGCGGTGTGATGA